GTTGAAAATTATATTTCGCACTTCTTCAGAAGTTTATTCGATATTTTTCTTTTGTTATTGAGATTGTTTTATCAGCGCTGCTGAGTTCGTTAAAAGGTAATCAGCGTTTCTGACATTTGCAGTTCCACCCACCAAATCGTAGTAATTTTCTTGATTTATCAGTTTCATTAGTGCTTAGAGGTTTAGTATGCGTGCATTTCTGAAATGACAACCATGTATCTCGTTGCCCGGCGAAAGCGTAACTAATTTCAATGTAATAATTTCAAACGTAGTAGTAGTTATCAATTTTTTAAAATTGCTTTCTTGTAAATGTAATTAAGGAAAGTAGGTTGAAGCGGTAGTCAAAAGTTTTCAGCTACTAAACATCAAGGGATTTATTGCAATATCGCGCTTTTAGATATAAAATTCGTTAGCGAATTGTGGGTTGTACTTTGTGAAACTTTTATATAAAAATAATAACAATAACGCAAAGTGGAACAATTTTTAATTTATAATTATTAAAATAATGAATAATATATTATTTATATAATCAATTATTATAAAATAGGCTTCACAAAACCAAATCGTTTTTACTAAGCAACAAGTTGTTCTTCTTTTGATTACCAGATATGCAAATTAAGGGATGTGAAGAATGCTTTTAAGAATTGAAAGCGAAAAAAACATACATAAATACACTTATACTGTGAGTGTTATATTATATATATAATATTATATATTATATAAACAATGTGATAAAAATATATACCATATTAGACATACTGATACTGAGACAAACGATTTATAATTATTCTCATATTATTGTTCACAGTCTTGTGATTTCCTTATACTCAATAATTTTTTTTCTTTATTATCATGTCAGAATGATAGTTTCCTCAAACACTCTTATACACTGGTACGGATGCTTTCTTTCCATTCCCATTTTTCTTTAATCCTGTTGCTTGTTTAGTGTAAATGATTAGCGTATAGCCTTTCGCTTTTTATAATTGCCGATACTTTTTCTCCCACATTTTTCCCAAAAATCTGTTTTAGATAACTCTAGATAACTTTTAGAAAACTCTAGATAACTTTTAGAAAACTCTAAAAAAATCAAGTCAAGCTATATAAATTACAGATCTGTTATTCTTAATAGACAGTCTCTCAAACTATCAAAAAAATACTTCCTTAAAAATATGGTTCTTTTATTAACCAAAATCCAGCAATCATATATAATATGTATAACTATTTAATTCTCGATTAAATTTCTAGAACTTCTTCAGAGAACTTTGAAAGAAATATGGATTTTCTTTGCATGGATCTATATACACTAGGAAATTGACAGAACTGCAAATTAACCTAGCATGATTCTTGTTAATGACCTGTTCTTATTATACTAAGGTCTGATCAACAGGAATGCGAGTAGCTTCCACTAATTGTAAGATAGTCAAAGCATTGCAAGTACATACTTCGAAATTACAAGAAAACGAAATAAGTGTCCATAGAGAAAAAGCACCAAAGTAGTCTAAATTGTTTGCTTTTTCATTTCATTCAATATTCCCATGATTGGTTTAATAATCATGTATTAATCAGATAATAGTTGGATTTGATTGCCGTTTGGCTATCGATAAAAATTAAAACCTTTTAATTAGTCTTGATATATATAAGATATGCTTATCTTAATCAAAGTCCTTTGCATGATACTACTAATTATTCTTAAGCCTCCAATGCTGTATTCTCAGTATTTTAAATCGGTGAAGGCATCAAATCATTTGTTTTACATAATTAGCATAAACTTATTTCGATACTCTGTGGATATGTGGTTTATACAATAAGGTCTTTACTGTGTCTTACCTTACTCTTACTATGTGATCCAACCATCTAATGCGTTGGACTATATGTTATAATGTTTAGCGCCTTTGCTTTCAGTCTCAATATTGTGGCAAGTTCGAATTAGTTGTCTGCCTTTATACAGGGATTTCTTTCTGATGACCTTACGTTCATTAAGCACTCAACAATATATATAAGTTAGGATTTTTATATTATTTTATTTAAAAATTTTAATTTTATACCAGTCGTATTTAATATTTACAACCCGTATTTCTTGTTGTGAATGACTATGAGGTTAATTACAGATTCTGCATTGGATTAAAAATTCATGATATTTTATTTACTATTAAAATACTACTTATTACTCTTCGTTACTTCTCTCAAATATTTGTGACCCAAAGTGTCACATGATGAGTTGACGTTTGTGGAATTTGCGGACCATGGTGTTAGATGATATGATGTTTATGTTTATATTATTATTTTGTTTGTTTTTGTTTACAGCCATTTCCTTTATTTATTTAATGCTTTCAACTATTCTATTTTGCAGACATGACTTATGTACTACCTTTTATATGTATATATGTTAAGTTATATATATCAAATTGTTATTTATTATTATTGTTAAAAAGAAGAGATTGTGCACTGCGACCTAAAAGATCTATTGTACCCCTTACTCGGGTTAAAGTGTTTCTCTAAGTCCGATTTCTGTAATGAAATACTGTCTTTTATTACAGAGCCTACCTTTTGTTTAGAGCCTACCTTTCCTACTCTTGAATCTTTATGATCCATGAAATACCCTCCTAGGTGTTTCTTTCGCTTGTGCATCAGTGCCGGACACTCCCGAAGCACATAGTATGCAGTTTCTCTCTCTTCTCTACACTATCTGCAGTCTGAGTTGAATTGAATTCCTAACTTCGATAGGTGATTATTCAATCTACAGTGACCAGTCAATAATCCTGTAATAATTCTTAGGTTGTTTTTTTGATTGTGCTATGCAATCTTTGAAGCGTTTTAGATTGTAAGTTCTTATTATTTTAAATCCTGAGATTGTGAGAGAAATCTTATATACAAAATAAATAATTTTACTTTGTAATTAAAAAGTGAAAGCGAAGGTTAATAATAATATAATTATCAAAATGTAGATCTTTTACTATCTCATTAATTAAATCCAATTAAGTGACTTAAAAAAAGCGAATATTTTTATGAATGAAGGAGTGTGTGTTGGTCTAACTTTTTTAAGATTGTCACAAAACTTGGTTATCCATTAAAGAAAAATTGTGCGTATTTTGCCAAAGGAAATATTTTAATTTACTTCGACGTGAGTGCACATTTCGGATGTCCTAAAACGGGTTGAAAATATTAATTTTAATAATTTTTAAATGACAAACAAAAAGTGAATTCAATTAAAATGCATAAATAGTCATATATCAAAAAAAAAGTGAAAATTCATATATGATTAAGGTGTTGAAACAATTTTCTAGTTACAGTAGTGCAGCAGGCGACAATTTGAGATGTCGGCGTTGAGGCTGCCAACTTGTCTGCAATTTCAAAATGTGCGAACATCATTAATTTCTCATAAAAAAATTTTAATCTCTTAATTGCAGTTAAATGGTTTGAAAGGTGCGTAGAAACAAATCCATGTTCGAATTGCAATGATAAAAAACCAAACCAGATACGCCTATCGTATCTGCTTGTTCATCTGTAAAACACAATTTTTTAGTACATCACTCATAAAACAAGTTTAACATTTGACAAATGTTTACAAATACGCAAAATGTATTAAAACAATTTAAGTAACAAATGCGTAAATGTAATGTTTACGATTAGGTTTCGATCAAGACTGATTTTTATTTATTTTATTTTAACTTACAAGCTTACTCTTATACAAAGCTTATTCTATCTACATAAAAGCTTAAACTCTACAGCCCTCCTCCTAAGATTATAACTATAATAATTAAACACGATATACATAAATAAAAAAAAATATAAAATATAAATGTAAAGCATAATTGAAATTCATTTTAATTCACTTTAAAATTATATAATTATAATTATGAAATATTCAACAACAAATTATTACTCCGTATAAATTAAATTATATTCATGAATTATTCCTTATAATTAATCTTAGTTTTACGTTCTCGCAGACGCGAGCAACCACTACCTACATTTACATCCTCAGTCGCATACCCTTCCGTAGTAGCGACGGCTGACTCTACATTTGGACTTGATTCTTCAGCAGCACCGTTCAACTCCTTCGTAGTTAAGTCATTTTTTATAGCACTACCACTATAAGCCATCATTTGGTCGACGTGGCGCTTAATCACCCTATTAGTTCTTGATATTGTGCAACCATATGTTCGTCGACCTAAACGCTCCTTAATTACCGCTTCCTGCCATCCTACCTTATTTGGGTCTGAAAAATCTCGGATAAAGACCGGTGTGCCTTCCGTAAAAATAATATCTCTAGAACCCCCATGGTTTTGAATGTTACTAAGTTGTTTTTCTCTCACTCTGTCTTTCACTAAAGGTGGTTTTAATAAATCGAACCGCGTTTTCATTTCTCTACCTAACATAAGTTTAGCTGGAGACTCTCTTGTTGTACAATGCTTCATAGTACGATAATCAAATAGAAATCTCTTAAGCACTATGTCTAAACTTCCTTTTTCACCAGAGCTTAAACTTGCTTCAAGAGATTTTTTAAAAGTTTTAACAAAATTTTCGGCTTGCCCATTTGTAGCTGGAAACCCTGGAGGTGTAAGAATCTGTTTGATGCCATTATCCTTTAAAAATTGTTGGAATTCCCATGCTGTAAATTGGGTTCCATTATCACTTACTATGGCATCCACTAAACCATACCTACAAAATAGCTCTTCTAATTTCTCCACCGTGAATGCCGCTGTTATCTGCTTTGTTTTAAAAATTTCTACCCATTTGGAGTATGCATCAACTACGACTAAAAAGTAAACATTCTTGACTGGCCCGGCAAAATCAATGTGAATGCGCGACCATACTGAGCTAGGCATTTCCCACGGAATTAGTGGGCTTTTCTTTGGACTAGGCTGAACCTTTTTACATGGAATACATCTATCTATAAGATTTACTATATCCTTATCTATATTAGGCCACCAAACATACGACCTAGCCAAAGCTTTTGTCTTTACAATGCCTAAATGAGATGCATGTAACTCTTTTAAAACACGGTTTTTCAAAGTATAAGGTATTACACTTCTAAAACCCCATAATATACATCCGCACTCAATCGAAAGCTCTAAATTTTTAGTTTGAAAAGGCGAAAATATTTTGTCTTTTAACAAATGTAACTTCCCAGTTTCAATAGCGGCTTTTACTTTCGCTAAACAGGGGTCGCGAGCAGTCTCTTTTGCAATTACCTTAAAATCTAAATTTAGCTCATTATTTTTGGTTATAAAATTTATATAACTATTTTCCTCTGTATCTACAGAAGGAAGCAAATCTTGAGGTATACGCGAAATATTGTCTGTAAAATTTTCTGACCCCTTGACATACTCGATGGTATAATCAAATCCAGACAATGTCAAAGCCCATCGCTGAATACGAGCTGCTGCCATTACTGGTAGTCCCTTATTTTCACCAAAAATTGACAAAAGCGGCTTATGATCAGTTTGCAAAACAAACTTATTACCAAGCAGATAGAGTCGCAGTTTAGTTACTGCAAACACTATGGCTAGTGCTTCCTTTTGAATAGCACTATAATTTCGTTCAGCTGTCGAAAGCGCTCGAGATACGAAAGCGATCGGTTTAATTGTTCCATTAGGAAAACTGTGGGACAAGGTCCCGGCTATAGCGACATTTGACGCATCCGTTTGTAAAATAATAGGTTTACTGGGGTCAAAAGAAGCTAGGAATCTATCGGATGTAATTTCCTTTTTAAGATTTTCATAGGCATAATGACATGATTTTGTCCACCTGAATTTAACACCCTTTCTTAACAATGCATATAACGGCTCCATAATCTCAGCAAACTTAGGAATAAATTTGGAATAGTAATTAACTAATCCAATAAATGCACGAACTTCAGATAAATTGTTCGGTATTGGAGCATTAACGACTGCTGAAATCCTATCTTGGTTTTTTGACAAACCATTTTTATCAATATCAAAACCTAAATAGGAAATTGTTTTTTGAAAGAAAACACACTTATTAGCGTTTAAACGCAAACCCACGCTCTCTAATCTTTTCAAAACTTTTTCAATGGAGTTACTATGCTCTTCAATAGTATCTCCTGATATAAGAATATCGTCCAGGTAATTAACAACATTAGGTATACCACGCAATGCGTTTTCTATAGTTTTCTGAAAAATGGCTGCGGCAGGCTTAACACCAAATGGTAATCTGGTTATCTTAAAAATACCTAAATGTGTGCTCCATGCGCATAACCGTTGGGATTCTTCTACCAATTCAAGCTGATTGTACGCATTTGACAAATCAAGTTTGGTGAAGAACTGTCCTTTAAGGGAAGCAAATAGTTCTTCAATCCTAGGTAACGGATACCTCACATCTAGCAGGTGCTTATTGATGGTCGACTTATAGTCGCCACAAATACGTAATTCACCATTAGACTTTAACACTGGTACTAACGGCGTACCCCAATCTGAATCCTCTATTAATTTTAAAACACCCTTTTTTACCAAATCCTGAATCTGTCTTTCGATTTCTTTACGCCAAGCCAATGGCACTGGCCTGGGCTTGCAAAAAACAGGTTTTGCATCCTCTTTAAGACTAAGTTTAACCTTATGCACCTTATACGTTCCTAACCCTTCAGCAAAAACTGTAGAAAATCTACTTTTTAGAAACGCTACTCTATCATCTAACTGACTCAGTGTGCTTATTTCCATCCCAAAAAGTGACATAAAATCCCTACCAAAAACAGGGCGGCTAAGCGTATCACTAACCACAATTCGCAACTTGTGCGACTGTCCACGACACTTAATTGAAGCACTAAACTCACCCAAAATCCCCACAATATCACCACTGTATGTGACAAACTGATCGTTGCATTTCTTTAGCTTGATTCTCCCAAAATGTTTATGGAAATCGCCTTTCGAAAGTAATGAACAAGCTGCTCCAGAATCTAGCACAAATGCGAGCTTAACACCGTTCACTTCTACATCAATGACGAAAGGAGGTGGTGACTTGGGATGACACTTATCATCTACACTAAAAATTGAAAAATTATTAGTATCAGAATTATTTACTAAATTAGAAAAATTTTTGCATTCATTATTATTTACAATACTTATTGTTTTCTTTTTTAAACAAATATTGGCCAAATGGCCCACACGTCCACAATTATTGCATTTGCAATTTTTAAATTTGCAGCTACTACTTTCATGGTTTCTCCAACCACAGTGTTTACAGCTCTGCCGTTGCTTTTTACTGCCGCTGCCGCTGCTGCTGCCGCTGTTTGCATTTTTGTTATGCATGCAAGCTTTATTCGTACTCGCACTGTTTGCGCCTTTGAAATGCAAATTTCTTTTAAAAAGGGCATTAACCTCTACATCATGGGTTTGTTGCTGTTTGAAAGCTTCATTTTTTGCTTCCGTAATTATTGCAATTTTTAATGCCCGTTCAATTGTCAAGGTCTCATCTTCTTCACACAATCTTTCGAATGTTCTACCGTCTAAAGCAGTAACGAATTTATTTAGAACAAACGAATTTAATTGTGCCCCAAATTTACAATTTCTTGCTAATTTTTTTAAAAGTGCAAACCACTCCATAATTGTTTGCCCTTTTTCACGAACAGCATCAAAAAATATTTTTCGCTCGCGAAAAATAATAATCGGCTTTGAAAAGTGACTTCCCAAAAGCGTACACAATTTATCATACGTTTGGGTTGCAGGCAGATCCGGATCACAGATGTCCCGCAGCAGTCCATAAGCCTCCATTCCAATGTTTTTTAACAGGATCGACCGCTTGATCTTGTCGTCCTGACAAGCCATTTCAACAAAATGGGAGTCTAGGATCTCCACCCAGTCGCACCAACTGTCCACTTGCGGTCTGAACTCCCGCACACCTGACATGGTCGTACTTGTGAAGCATACACTTTCATTTTGTGTCATTTTTTTCAAAAACAAAAATTTTCTTTTTTAAATAATTTTTTTGTATAATTTATTTTGCACGAGTCAAACTGCTTTTCATATAATTTTATATGATGATTTAAAAATTTTTTTTCTTTTTTTTTTTAAAAAAATTTAATTAAAATTTAATTTTAATTTAAATAATTTTTAACGATAAATTAATTTTTTTTTTTGAATAATTTTTTTAACAATATTTTCCTCGTCGCCAATGTAATGTTTACGATTAGGTTTCGATCAAGACTGATTTTTATTTATTTTATTTTAACTTACAAGCTTACTCTTATACAAAGCTTATTCTATCTACATAAAAGCTTAAACTCTACATCGGAAAATGTTCATGTTGTTTTCTTGGATTAATCCTGAATCAGTTACAGATATGTTTTATTTAATGCTTGTATTCAGTTGTAAAATGTTAGACATTTTAATAGGATTTCAATCAAAAATTCAATAAAAATTTGTTATTGACTTGAAACAATTTTTTTCTTTCTCTTAATGTTTCAATTAATTTAAAATGTCAATAGAAATTTTATTTAAAAAAATCGGATACTTTTTTGTGAAAGTTGTAATAAATTTACTAATATTATAAATAAATAAAATAATCAACGAAATATTACATGTCCTAGAGCATTTTTTGTTATTAAATTATTTTTTATGCACTATATAATATTTATTTTATTATTAAATTATATGAGTTGTAGATGGAAATAAGGATATAGCTATTAAAAAAAATAACATATGTAATTTTTTGTGTAAGGCGTTTTCGTAGCACATATCACTTATGATTTGTTGCGTATGTTACGGTTTGTCTTAAATAGATATGAACTCAGATTAATTATCAATTTTATGACCATCATTTTTGTGAATTAACAATTCTCAAAAATAAAACTGAATCACACCGACACTTGTAGATTCTGTCAGATACAGAGAGAAACTTTCCCCCTTTGGATTTAATCGTGGCCTAAAGATTCCTAGGAAACGCATCGTAATCTTCATTCAATTTTCATTGAATCAAAAGAGATTTCGGATATAGAACCAACCGACGTTATTAGGTTTGTCAACCAAGTGACGTTATTAGGTTTGCCAACAGCTTTATTTTTGTCCAGATTAATTTGGGAGATTTTCTCTAAGGATAGCGCAATTTATCTCATAGGTCATAATTTACTATTTTAATAATAATGTTTAAATTATATCAGTTTTAATAATATTTATATAAAAAAATCAACACTGCCTCCGTCATATATTGTAAAAAGAATTGAATAAATTCAAAAAGTATTCAAACCCTCGTATAAATATTTTGATTGCTATTTTAGACTAAGAATCGTTTAATAAAAGTTGAGTATGTAGAAACTGTAAAAATCAGCTAAAAAAAAATTTGGGTTTGTAGTAGGTACATTTTATGCATAACGAAGAAATTTTGGTTGGCATGATCATCTATCGGATCATCTATAGGCAAAACTATCAAGAAATTTGGAGAAATTGGATCTATTACAAACATTGAAGCGAATAAGAATTAAGGGATTCTATCACAGAAATTTAACACGTAAATCGTCACCTAAACAATCATCGTTATCATATGAAAAGACATCATATCACACATACTTTTCAAAAGTATACAAGATCAATCAAATAAGGGAACATTATTTTATTTTTAATTCTATGTATATAATTAAACTACAGTCAAACTCTTCAGCTACTGTAGCACGCGCTTATGGAACGTTACGTTATAACTTCAACATAATAATCGTTCGATTCTTTCGTTTTTGTTATGTACTGGATAACGTTAGAGAAGGAGTATTCTCTGATTTTCTTTTTCTTCCTCATTGTATTAACATTAAGCAGTGGATACATATTATGCTCATTCTTTAGAAGAGAAGAAGTGTTCGATAAAGAGAACACTGTCTTCTTGAATTCTATTTTTATATCTTTGGAAAAAAATCTTTTTGTCTTAACTATTAATAAACTAATCAAACTGAACATAATATAAATATCTATTGTAATGTTAATGAAATTATATATCATTATAAAAATTCTGATTATGAACAATCAATAAGAACAAAATTTTGGTTTATCTATTTGCTTATATTTTTATATTTACCCGTTTATCTATTTTTTCTAATAATTATAAATTATAAATAAAATTATAAATTATAAATAAAGTTATAAATTATAAATAGATTAAGTTATAAATTAAAAATTTATAAATTAAGTTAAACTTATTTAACTAAGTTAGAGTTAATGTAACTTTAACCAAGAAATTTAAACTGTCCTATTATATGGTTACATTTTAAATAAAAACACGATTAAGGCAATATAACCTAATTAATATAATATAACTTGTGTAGTGGAATAAATATTACTAAAAATAATTATAAAAAAGTCATTAAATAGCTATTTCACTCAATAGAAATAAAGTCTAAAGTTCAATTTTAAATAAAATGCAATAAAATTGTTCATTGGTTCTTGACCACAAATTGACGAAGTTCAATGAAACTGCAGCCAATAGCCTGACTTAATGATGATGTAAAAAATCAATTGAAATAAATCCAACAAGTGGAAAACATTGTACGAGTGTGCAGCTGTGAACTACCTTAACCGCTGAACTGAAATAGCTTTGGGCGAGCCATAAAACCCACTTGTCTGCACCTAAATGTGCAATGAGCAACAACCGGAATTCGGTCAAACACGCCGAGATTTAAACAGAAATCCGCAGACATCAACAATAAAAAAAGAACATACGAGTATAAGCCACAAAAAAGAAAAATTAATCTTAACGGATTCTTGCATATTTTGAGATATTTTCTCAGCAAGAAGCAATGTCTTCGGTTATCTTAAAAGTGTGAAGAAAGTAATAACACACAACATTAACCTTCAAGATATAGAATTATTAGTGCTCACTGTGAGTTAGTGAGTTATATTAATTATAATTTATGAAAAAGGGTGCTACGATATGCATAAGAACTTACTAAAGAAGTATATATCGTTAGTTACTCGTAGTTAGTTTTTGAGTGTCAATATTCTCAGTAAATGAAAGTAACTTTTTATATAATTTATTCATTTTATATTTAATTGGAAGTAATGACCGGTAAATTTGTTATCATTATTAATAATCATTTTTAATTAGAATCAATTATTCTATTAGAATTATTTATTTATTTAGAATTGTGTGATTTTTCTCAGATAGTTAAGAAATCTGAAAGTGTTAATATGAAATATAGTATACATGATTGTGTGGTGCTGCCTACTTTCGTAATAAAATTTCAATTTTTAAATTATGGCATTAAATAATATTTAATAGAAAATTTTCTCATACATAAAAATTCAATAGTTATTATATTTCTAATAAAATAATGACGACTTTACCATAAGTGTTGCCATCAATTGTTTTATAAATAAAATAGAAATGTAAACACCTGTACAATTAAAAAACTTTAATGAATTAGATAATACACATATATTATAATAATGAATTAGAAATATAGTAAATGCAAACTTTTATTTTATCTCACATTATATTTCCTCATTAACTATAATAAAACATAATCACGGCATTTATTTTTCATTTTCACAAATTGTCATTAAATTAAAAAAAAAAAAAAATTCACTGCCATATTTTAATCACACTTCAAGGCAGCGGGGAAGTTCAAACAACTTCTGTGGCTAAAGATGCCGCATTATAAAAAGCTTTATCTCCTCTCCTCATCAGATATTTAAATCATTTTATTATACATTTGCAATTATATTGTAGATACTTTTTCTCAAAATCAAAAAAAATTAAAGGAGATTGACATTTTGTTGTGTATGCCACTTGTTGCGTTATTTATGAGTTTTTTTTAACAAAAAATTCAGAAAATGAAAGTCGGAATTAATCGAAATGAGATTTTCGCTGTCAAAATCGTTTAATTATAAATGAGAAAATAAAGTTTTTAAATAGCTTTTTATTTTATAAATATATTTTTTATATTATTATTTAAGTGTTAATATGCATAAGTTAAAAATGTTAAGAGCATTTCCTATTGTCACAATTATTTACACCGCAGGGTTTACAGGTTTAATTAAAGTTTCGTTTTTTATATTGTTTAAAAGAAAAATAAATTACATTTTTTTTTTGAAGTAACTCACATAAATAAAGTGTGATCAAATGAGATCCATACATTATTTTGTTTTAAACAAAAACAAAGCGATATAACATATCAAAATAGGATTTTTAATAGTAGTTATTGGAAATGACAATTTATTTAAAAACAATTTTGGAACAATAATATTTGATCACCCTAACAAATAAATCGACATTACTTCAGCTATAACACAAGTATTATCGATTTAATGGTGAATTGTAATTTAATGAAACCCACTTTACTCCTTGGTCTAGGTTCATTCTATATGCACGACACTAGAAAATTTTACAATATATCTTCTGCCCAAAAAGTATCCGGATTTTGTTGTTTGTTAACTACTCATTAAGTAATAGACCTTTTTCAAACATTTGAGAATTTTTTGTTATGTTGGTACACCCTTTTTTGGCATATGGTACAAATTTCTGCGCCATCTGTCAATTAGTTTGTTTACAGCAGCTATTAATGTGAGACTACCTCAAGTGCATTTAGTGATTTTTACTATGGAAGATTCATGTTGTACGCGATTTTTTGACCAAACACGGCACCACTGTCATTGCTCAGGCACTATATTCGCCAGATCTAGATCCGTGCAACTATTTCCTGTTCCCGAAACTCAAATTGCCCCTTTGAGGTAAGCGTTTTGAGTCGATTGAATCGGTAAAAGAGAATTCGCCGAAGGAACTAAAAGCCATACCTCTACGGGCCTACGAAAAGATGTGGAAGATTGGGTTAAGCGTTGGCATATGTGTATCGCTTCAGAAGGAGCATATTTTAAAGGAGATAAAATAATTTTGGAATAAAATTTAAATTTGTGTGTTTTATTTACAAACTTTTTGATGGGTACTTTTTGAGCAGAAGGTACATGTC